GTGGTTATTTGAGTTGAAATATGGTTTTAATTTAGTAAGCTTTCATTATTTGAAGTTTACTTTATTGATCATTATTCAACAGTTTAGAGAAAATAAACACATGCAACACATTAACTGTAAGCATAACTTTGTTTACGAACATTAATATTACAATTGTTTAACATTATATAGCATATCTATCAATGAAATAAAATAACAAAATGGGTTTTTATGGTTAGTTATCATATTATTGCTTTTGTGTTATTGCATTTCTCATAGTATGATATTCATACTAATCAATTACATTATAATTTTTTTATAATTATGGTATTAATGTTGTTGTAGTTGTTTACTTTTACAAAGTTGTTATTCTATTTGCAAGTCACCTAACTATGCAAACCTTGCCTATTTAATTAATGATTTGTTATACTCCATACAGGTGTATTATTTATATTTGTTACAATTATACACAATAATGATGCCCACAAAGTATTTTAATACCACAGACAATATTTTATTTTTGTAGATTATTTATATATATATATAATATATATATATATATATATATATATATATATATATATATATATATATATATATATATATATATATATATATATATATTAAATATGCAACCCCTTTTGAGCCGCTTTTTTGAAGGCTTGCAAATAACTTATTTATCAAACAAATGGGGTAGGTGCTTTTTTTTTGTAATTCATCTTCATCCCCCCCGTCCTTTCGTGGGGAGGGGGCAGTAATATCCGCAACTAACCTCTTTAAAAAGCTAAACCCGCCCCTGTATATATATATATATATATATATATATATATATATATATATATATATATATATATATATATATATATATATATATATATATATATATCAAGTATACAAAAACGATTACTTTACGTAGATCGTGATTTTTGTTGTGATTACTTCTTGATAGTTCGAGCAACAAGTTCGAGCAGTTGTTAAAAACTTTTCCAGTCAAATTTTTACAGAGTTATCCACTTCGATAACAACTTTTAAAGTATACAAACTAGATTTCAAAATTTTACTTTTTCAACACAAAGACGCTTGCCGTTGTAATAACTATACTACTAAGACTGTACCACGATTTTAAACGATTTTCGGCTTTGTTCTCCCTCCAGCTAGTTTATTAAAACTCCTCGAACTAATTTTTTTTTTTTTTTTTTTTGCACGGCTTTCTTGAGAAGTAATAACTTTGTGAATGATAACTTGGTATGATTAGACAATATGACTCTTACTTTTGGTTATCTATGCAGAGAACTAATTCAATTTTATAAAGAAACTAATTATATGTATTCAGAAAAAAAAATTGAGGTTCCTTCAATTAAAGGGTCTGATGCCATTGCCTTATTTGCCTCAATGATAATCTACTTGTATAAATGTGCAACAAACTCTACGCATGTATGCGTTTTTACTTTTTTTTGAATACGTACATAAAATACGACTCGACCTAAAATTTGAAGCATATTCTTAAATCTAAAAGTTGAAGCACGTTCTTAAATGTAATAGCTGTAAAAACTGTTTTGCCGCAAACAGGATATAATTTCATTTAACGTCATTAAGTACGTAGGTCATTTCGTAGAGTTGAAATAGTTAAAATTGAAACGTCAACCATATAAGCTTCTGACATCTGCCGAATGAATCATAATAATGACCGTTCCAAAGATATATTAAAGGGAATGACGTTTTTTTTCCTGAAAAACGACGAAAACAAAAAAAAAAAGTCTTTGTTTACAAGGTTTGAATTATTTTTTTCACTTTTTCTCCACTTTTTAAAAATTTTGAGTTATTGATTGTGTTATGTACCTCAAAATAATGTTTTTCTACAATATTGAAACCTAAATTATAATCAGAAAAAACATAAGTAACAAAAATCTTTTTATGTCGTCTCTTAAAAGTTTTTTTAAAATCTCTTAAATCTCTAAACTCTATAAGTGGAAATAGAACAAGATCGCAACTTGCTGAATCTTGCTTAAAGTTCCACTCTTGCCGATTGCAAATAATTTCCTTACCAATTTTGTTTATTGGGCTAGAGCCGGCGTCAAATCTCTTGGTTCTGAACTAGAACTCTAACCACTGCGCCACGGCTGCATAAATGATACCTATTGAAATCCTGTAACTTTATGTATATAAAACTATATGTATATATATATATATATATATATATATATATATATATATATATATATATATATATATATATATATATATAGATAAAATGAGTATAGTTATTATGACGATGTATCTTCGATAAAAAATTACGTTATTGTAGTCAAATTATTTTAACGTAATTTCGATGAAACATAACGTTAGTGTAGCCAAAGTTATTTTAACTTTGTAACTTCGATAAAAAATTACGTTAATAAAACCAAAGTTGTTACAACGTTAGATTTAGTTGTACGACGTCGCTTAACATAACCCAACATAAATCCAACGTTGGATCAACATCGGGTGCCCACTAGGTGAATAACCCAAAAAAAAAAATCTTTTCTTAAACTTCACGAGATTAAACATTATTAGTCATATTTTAGTCTTGTTGCTTAAGTAAATTTCATAATATAATGATTATATTTTCCCAGCCTAGTACTAAATGTTAAGTTATAGATTATTAAAGAGATACAATAGGTTTTATTTTGAATCTGTATTCTGTATGTTATTTGTAATTTATTTTTTTTGATTTTTTTTAGATTGCACCAATAATATCATATTAATTGTCAAGATCATTCATAATACTCATAAAACTCAGTATGAAGTTATTTAAAATAATATGTTATTGTAAAAGAATAATATAGATTGACAAAGAAATTAGACAAAGTTTTATTTTGTCCAATCTTCCAAATATCACAACAAAAAGAATTTAACTTTCTGATGAGATTTTTTTACATAATTATTGTTAAAGAAGATTGTTGTTTATTTTACAAAATTATTGTTAAAGAAGATTGTTATTTATTTTACTGCTTTTTTAATTGGGTTTATTACTTTTAAATTTTTTTACTCCAAATTTTTTACTAGAAATTTACTTTTACTTGATTTTTTATTTTTTCATCTTATTGATATTTTTTAGTTGAAATTCTCTTTGAAATTTTTACTCGAGACCATATTACCCATTTTAACAATTAGCTTTTAGTATATTATGCATTCACTTTTTTTCTATGTTAATTTTTAATAACTTTTTTGATATAAACGATTTTTTATTTTTTCATCTTATTGATATTTTTTAGTCGAAATTCTCTTTGAAATTTTTACTCGAGACCATATTACCCATTTTAACAATTAGCTTTTAGTATATTATGCATTCACTTTTTTTCTATGTTAATTTTTAATAACTTTTTTGATATAAACGCAAATAGTAGACAGTCTTTCAAATTTTAAAACATGTTTTGAACATGCAAATTAAATAAAATTTGAACTTAATAAAGTTGCAATCTCTTCAAACTTTTATATATAAAAAAAATTTTTATATAAAAGTATAAAAAACTTAAATATAAAAAATATTTAATTTTACATTTTAACTGATGTAAAATGTTTTTAAAGTTGGCAAATCAATCTCTAATAACAAATGTAAATATCTTTAATCGAAATACAACGATAGTTCTAGTTTAAAATAATGCTTTAGGGATAATGCTTTAAACTTTAGGGATTAGCCTATTGAAACGACTTTGAACAAGAAGCAATTCTTGAGAGCCATGTACGGGTTATATATTTATCATCAAATATTAAATTTAATTGTTTAAAGCAAAATTTAATATGTTATAATAATATTTTATTACTTACGCATTTTAACGTTGTTTTTTTTTCAAAAAAAATTAACTTATTTCGTATAATTAAGACAAATAAAAGATATATAAATTTAAAAACTATTGATCAAGGTGCACTCACTTCTTTTCACTTAATATTGTACAAGATATAAGCTTTGTTAATCTAACGTCTGACGGTAATTTGAACATCACCTTTTAATTAGATTTAAGAAACAGTTGTCTGAATCAACAGTCACGAGAGCATAGAACCTTTTAAATCATTTGAAGTTAATTGTTCTTTGAATTAAATCTTTTTTTTTAATCGTGAGAGGAAATGGAATAAAAAAGCAAAAAAAAAATTTTTAATGAAAACATTCAATGAAGGTCATAAAAGGGCAACAAAAATATAAATTTTTGGTTAATTAAGAATTGATTTCAAGGAAGGAAAGTAAGGTCTCATCCCCATTTTTTTCTTCTTATAAAGTTTATGATAACAGTAAAAAAAAAATCAAAAAAGTTATGTTTTGTTTTAAAGTTGAAAAGTTGTTAAATGATTTAAACACACCCTTATACATGCCTGTAATTTTTTGCGCTTGTTATTTTATTTTATTTCAATTTTTTTTTTTTTTTTTTTTTTTTATTATTGTTATTTTTTTTGCAAGATTCTGGACATAACTTTGGGAAAATGCGGTATACAAAAGTTGTTATTTTAAGCTACACGTTTTAAATAAACTAAGTTTTTTGAATTTTCTTACTCGGTATTTGACGGAAAATGAAAATTTCTTTATTATGAAATTAGAACACAAGCAATTAACAATTAATAATTAAACCGGGTAATGTCAATGCTTGTATCTGGAAATAATAATCTCTTACATCTGATCAATATAGTCACTCGAATCACTCAATTTTGTTTCATCATCCATATTTAAAATAAAGGACTAAACACAAAAGACGCATAAAAATTTCCTTAATATGACCTGGAGTCTACACCTTTTTGTTTGATAAACAGAGTTTAAAAAAAAAAATCTTGGGACACTACAGTCAAGCCATTTGCAAAGAGAAACTTTGCAAATGGCCTGACTGACTTAATGTCAGACTAAAGACAGAATTAAGGAAGTTGTTTTTAAAAAAATGTCAAATAAAATCATTCATTCCTCTCTTTCCTGGTCTATTTAAATCGAAGATTGATTTAAATAGGCTTTAGTTAAAAGTGTGTTAAACGTACTCAGATACATATAAATTTATTTATTTTTTGAACGTTTTTTGAGAAACACAAAGAATAAAACGCTATATTTGTTTACGCATGCGCAGAACTTAACTTGTTTGTTTATTATCATTATTGAAACTTGTTGTGAGGTAAAACTTATCCATGCCTGTTGAGAAAAAATCCATGCTGGCGTTCATCGTCATTATACTAAATCTATTGTATGCAAAAACAGAAAACTCTAAAAAAAGTTCATTGAAGCTGATTGTTCAAGTTTTACCGCCCGCAACTTTTGAAAATAAAACGCACCAGAAAAATGAAAAGCAATTTGATTTACCGCAACACGATTGGGATCCAAGATATCTTATAAACATTCGCAGGCACAAAAAGAAAATGCGAAGACCAAATAAAAGAGCAAAAATCAACCATGATTTGACTCCCATATCAGAATTTCCTACAAACAAAAGATTTTATAAGTTAGCAAATAAACTCAGTTTTTTTCTTCGAATAAAAGAAACTGGGGAAATTGACGGAACGTTAAATCCAAATGATGAAACGGGTAAGAACCTGAAGAAGAAAAAATGTTTTCATATTCAGTAATTGGTTTGATTTTTTTGGTAAGACAAAGCATTAAAAAAAAGATAATTAATTTTTTTTTATTTTTAGCGCTATTAGTGTTTGAATCGCACGGTCCCAGCGTTATAAGAATCAAAGGAGTGAAGTCCAATCGCTATTTGAGGATGAACAAACAAGGAATGCCGACAGCAGAGGTAAATAAGTTTGAGCAACCATAAGATAAGTTTATAAAACCATATGTTTACTTTAAAAATAAACAATAAAATCGTTATTAAAAAAATTAGTTTCATAAATTAAATTCTATTTAAGTTTTTTTAGAAGTGGTACATTATAAATATAAAAATATGACAAGATAAACAAGTTCGTCATCAAAAGAACAAATCCGTCATCAAGATTTTAATTCCTTATTCATGACAAAAATGAATAAATCATAAGATTTAAGGCAAATAAATAATACCCATAAACTTTATTTGTTAAATGGATTATGAAATAAATTAAAAAAAAATGACTTTAATTATAACTTTATAAAATGTCTTATTTTCTGCAGCATTCGCCTCCTCTGTACGACAGTTTATTTCGACTTAATCACGAAGAGAACGCATGGGACACTTTTGCTTCGTTTAAGTTTTATTTTGAAGAGAAATACGATATGTTGGTTGGTATTACCAAAGAAGGATCTTTAAAAAATCCTCTTAAGGCGTCTCCAGGACAATACGCAACTCAATTCTTATCTATACCTTGCGACTAAACATAGTTAATCTTTTAATTTGTTGGAATTGCTGTTTTGGCTGTGTTCTATTATTGTTCATGAAATACAAAATAACATTGCTCAAACAACGGGTAAAAGAGGTCAATCGTTAAGTAAACTTTGCGATATAAAACATTTAAAAAAGAAATTAATCCTACACTTAAAGATATCTACTGGATATTCATCTTGCAAATATGGTTAATCAAAAAATCTTGACTTGACTTGAAAGTAACGCAATATTATTGGATATAAAAACTCCTTTGTAATATAAAAATATTTATTATTTATAAATAACTTATAGAAAACATAGATGACATTTATAAACATTAAGATTTTATAAAATAAACATAATTTTAAAAATTGAACACATATATCTAAACATTTTTACTTTCAATACACGGATTTATAGTCTCAGTTCCGTTCCGCAAATTATCTCAAAAATGTTTAGTAAACATTTCTAGAATTTGAGAAGATTTTAGAAAAAAATTAGAGAAGCAGAATATGACATATTGATTTTACTTTGATATAAAATCTTTGTTATAAAATTTTTTTAACGCTAAATATGTTACCTAGCCTAACTTAAGTTCGAAATATTTATCTTACTAAACGATTTTGTGATAATTTACGGAACGGAACTGAGACTATAAACCCGTGTATTGTTTTGCTTTGTTTATATAGCTAACCGGTTTGCCGTTTTTTTAACACTTTTTTAATAAAAGTGTGATAAATATTTTTTAATGAAAAGTTTTAATAGTTAATTTTTTCCGACATTTCCGACATCCGAGAATGTTCGGTAACTTAAACGAGTTAATAATATCCACTTGAGCTTTTTTAGTGACCGTGGGAAAATATACGACATGGTTTAAGTAAATTTTTAGATATACCAAATCAATGTCAGTAAGATTTAATATTTGAAAAAAAACATGAAATATATTCCAAATTGCGTTTAAATTTCAAAAGATCTTAAAAAATAGAGATGGTTACAATAAACAGAAACAATTGCATTAAGTGTAACATAATATTTGAAAGTAATGTGCCTTAAGTTCAAAAATCTAAATAAGTAAGATTCATAATATTTGCTATTTCATTCTAATGTTCAAAAATCTATATAAGTGTTTCATAATATTTGCTATTTCATTTTAATGCGCCTAAAGTTCAAAAAAATGAGTCTTAATTAAATATTTGAGAGTCAAACAAAGGAAACTTTAAAACATAGTAATAGCCTTGAGTATCGAACAAATATAACTTGAAACTTTAAAAATGTCTCTAATCAACTTTAGGCGCCTTGTTTTTATATTTTATTAAACCAATTTAAATTTGTGTACTATACGCATAATTTTAATGAAAATTGTTTTATTAGGGAATGATTACTTTAGAAATGTGTTTGTTTTTATATACTATAAAAAACAAAATAAAAAATGTTAAATGTTCTTAAATCTAACTCCGTAAAAATAGTCTCAAATTTATTTACATTATTAGTTGAATTATACAGTTGCATATTTATATTTGTTTGTAAAAATATTTATTATTCTTCATCATATATAAAGCGACTTCATTTATTACACAAATAATTTATAAATAACAAATATAAAATTTTAATCTAAATAATTAAATTATATAATTTAAATTAGTCGTGGCGCAGCGTCAGAAGCAAAAGATTTTTAACCCCAGGCCTAAGTTTGCCATTGTTATAACCATGATTATAGAAAACACGAGTAGGGGAAGTGGGGGCATAACCGCCCACGTAACGTTTGGAATAATGTTATATGAAAATAAAAATGAAATGTATTTTTTTAGCAGTTTATTACAATAACCACATCATTATGCTTTAAATTGGTGCATTTAAGAAAAAAATTAAACAAGTTTTGAAAATGTTATTATACAAAAATTACACTTAGTGAAAAAAACGGTTTTGCCCCCATTGTGAGGCACAACCGCACCCTCAAAAAAATCGATGGGGCTACACCTTTCATGGTACATTTTTTTTACAATTTTCACAGCTCAGATTATTTGATAATTTTGTTGCATGTTTGCATACTGTGCAGGCATTCTTTGTGTTTACATTTTGAGTTCTGCCCCAGAAGAGAGTTCTACCCCAGAAGAGAGTTTTTAGAAAGAATTCAGTTTCATAGATTAATTATTAGATTATGGTATTATCAAAAATGACTTTCACTTCATGAAATAATACTGATAACACATATTTTTAACACTAAAATTAAATATTGCTTAATTCTCACAAAGAAGGTCAGGAAAAATATGATATAAATAAAATATTTTTATCAAAATAAAAATTACTATTCACAACTTCTCAGAAACTTAACAGTCACTCTTTTTGACATATGCAAAATGAAGGAAACTGTTTTACTAACGCGTGGTATGTTTTTTGCCATATTAGATAACATTTTTTGAAGAGAAATGTTAAAAAACGGTTGTGCCTCCATATGCGGTTATGCCCCCATATTATAATTGTAAATAATCACAATTAGAACAAACACAACTTAAATGTAATAAAAGCTAATGCTAAACTTTCTTTTTCATTTTGCGCATAATTTTGTCCAGCTATATTATATGTTTTTTACAGCAAAACAGTTTTTTTTAATTTCTTTTCTTGACTCAAAACAGAACCCATGGACTGTCATCACACTGAATTATTCTTTGATGGATCAAAGTTATAAAGTATTAGCGTTTTTCATAGTATAGTTTTACCATTTTAAAAGATCCCTTTCTGTCTCTACTCTAGTTCCAATTTACGCACTTTTCTTGAATTTTTCAATATTTTTAATAAAGGTTCTTTAAATTGTTTAAATGTAGCAAGTCAGATTCATTTTCTAAAAATGAGTATTTTGTCCACTCGTACAAATGGCAAACTTTCCACTTTCTGTCTGTTTCTATTTTAATTTTGAATTTTTGTTTTAGGTGCCTCAAGAAGACCCTACAGCCCTATCTATGAGTACCGCGGAAGAGCATTTAAATAGAAAATTTCATATCTCTTTCCTTACCGATTGCCCTATATATGTCAAGAGTTTGCTTCGAACCCTGGATCTCTTGCTTATAAAGCAAACACTCTAAACCACTGCGCCACGACCGCAGAAAAATTTCTCTAAAAAGATGCTTGATGCACACAAAACGGAAGACAGTTTGCTAAAGTAGTAGTACAAATCTTGATGAACAATGCTACAGTGGGACTTTGTGATAATTAAGTATCAAAAATCAATTAAAAAGCTGTGACACTTATGACACTTAAGACTGGAGCATATAGAACGTCATCAAAAAACAGAGCCACTTTTAAGGAAAGATTACCAGGAAAATCATTTATAATCAATCAAAAAACAAATAATTTATAACTGTATAAAAATTTATATATCACTGAAAGTAAATAATAACTAAAAAAAAAACAAAAAGCAATAAATGATTAACAAAAAATAATAAGTAAAACTTTATTCGCTAAAAAAAGAAAAATCATTATTGTAGTAATGATTTTTCTTTTTTTAAAAAAAATCATTATTGTAGTAATGACCACATAACAGCATAACTAAAAAATAAGTCGTAAATAAGAAATATATGAAAGTAAACTAAAGAAGTATATGAAATATAACTAAAGAAATATATGAAAAAATAAAAAAATATTGATTTGCCGATCTTTTTTTTTATAAATATATATATTTTTTTTCTTATCCATTCTTTTTATTTATTTCATTAACCTTTTTAATTTAACTTCTATTTTCAATACTTTTTTACTTATTTTCTTTCAGATATTTCTAATTATATATATGAAAAACAACAAATAACCAAGGGTGCTACCTTCTGTTACCTCAGAAGATACTGGAAATGACGGAGGTTGTTGTCCGTCTAGATCAACTTTCTATAAAATATAAAGACGACCACTCATAACAATTTGTTAATGTATTGTTTATTTTACTCTTGAATAAAAATCATTTTATTCGACAGAAAAATAAAATACCCACAACTCTCCTAATATTTTATAAGAAAAACACTACTTGTTAGGCCTAACAAATTACTAACTGGTTTAAATAATTAACCATCCAAAAAACAGATCAATTTTTCTAATTTAAATTTTTTGTTAATTTCGATTTCCTATAAAATTTCCCACATACCCTCCGTTGCCTATAAAAAAAAATTTCACATACCCTGTGTTGATGACAGTGGCATTGTAGAAATTTATCGATATATTAATTTATCGATATATAAATATTATCAACATAGACAACTATAGGATTGTAAAAACACGCGGGTAGATTCTATAAACGTTTCCGGTATAATAGGATCGATGTCATGTGCAATTTTTGCTTAACTTTAATCATAGTCATAATATACATATATATCTGATATTATGACTATGCTTTAATAAATCTGTAAAAAGAACTTTTTTTTTTTTTATAATTTGTTTTGTAAAGAAATACATATTATATTTAAAGTGCAATGACGATGTTTTCTTTTTTTAAAGCAGAGTTATAAACTTCATAATTTTGGTTCATATATTCATATATTCTATTATATATATTCTATATATTTTTGAAATGATTTATGATGGTGTTTATTTAATATGCTACTTTGTACTTCACATTTGACATGAGATTTTGCATTTGACATAAGTTATGGCTACACATCATTATTAGCCTAATAATGATGTGTATAAATTATGGCTACACATCATTATTAGCCTAATAATGATGTGTAGCCATAACACATGATTTAAAAAAACCCAACTAATAATTAGGTGGGTTTTTTTAAACCATGTGAGTTAATTTTTAATTAACATTTTTTTAAACGTTAAAAAAAGACTTTCACAAGTAATTTTCTACCAAACAATACTTTTTTTTTATAACCTAAAGATAATTAGCTCCTCTAACCGACATTAGGAACCATGAGTGTCCAATCATATAATATGAGAAATTATATTAATATGCATAATAATATAAATATAGTTTATATTATAATGCATATAAAATAATTATATAAAATACCATCCTTATCAATCATTTAGTTATTATTATTAATTACTTATAATTAATTTACTCATTATATTAATTTATATTATTATTATTTTTATAATTATTATAAATATATATATATATATATATATATATATATATATATATATATATATATATATATATATATATATGTATATATATATATATATTTATAATATATATATATATATATATATATATATATATATATATATATATATATATATATATATATATATATATGTATATATATATATATATTTATAATAATTTATATATATATATATATATATATATATATATATATATATATATATATATATTTATATATATATATATA